CTTTAAGGATTTGTTTGTAAATAAGACAGGGGATATTGGAAGAAGGGAACATTTCTTGTATTTTAAAAGGTGATAAGTTACTAAAATTGTTTATACCTGATGTAATGAAGGGGGAAATAACTTCTTTATATGATTCTTTTCTTTTCTTTACTACATTCTTATTTTTTCTATTTCTATTTCTCTTTTTATTTTTTATTTTCCACGCTATTTGTTTTTTTATTTTTTTTTGTATTTCTAGTTTGTATTAGTTTTTATTCTTTTGATTGTAATTTTTAATAAAAATACTATTAAAAATCACACAACCTGCCGGCCCTAGTTTTTCCAGATCAGAAACTGAGATCCATCTAAGAGAGTGTCCAGAAAACATTTGGATTCCTTTAAAGTTAACGTTGGAACACAGCAGAGGTGACTCAGCGTAGGTGACTGGAGATTTATAATTTTTTTATTTTCAGAAGGCCTAATAATGTGTTCTTAGTGGTAAATATATTATCAGGCTCATTGTTCTTGGATTTTTAACTATTTTATTTGCTTATATATTGCAGAATCTTTCCTTTTGTTGAGTCCTATGATCAATACAAACAATCATCTTGCTAAATTAATAGAAGAGGACTCTAGTAAGAAAATTCAAGTTGGGCTTTGAACTGGATCTTAAAAAAAATAAATAGAAAAACAGGAGATTATTTTTTAAACTGAAATCTTGCTAATTATACAAACAACCCAAATAGAACCACAACATAGTTAAATATTATCATGGATGCCACCCCAATGGTGCATAAACTAATAAATTCTCTATAGATAAAGAACCTAATGGTAAAAAGTAAAGTAAGTGAAGCTTACTTTACTTGGATTCTGGCCTGGGACTTCTGACTGATTTGCATATTTGGCCAGCAGATCTCTGCAAGATTGCTTTTTGTATTACTCCACCCTAAAATTGCACTTGTGTGAAATTTAGGGAAACTCAGCAAACATAGATATAAGCTTCCTTTTCAGCAGTGTTGGCAATTCTAGTGACAAATGTTAACCTGGGTCCCTTCCTTTGATTCACAATAGAATTCAGCAATTGAGCAAAGAATGTGATTGAGCAAAAAATATATATAGCAATTTTGGCATTAAAAAACTGGAACTATTTAGAATTCAGGAGAGCTTGTTGCTAGAGGGATGGAGCAGGAATGGGTAAAGACATCATCTGCGGGCTACACTTACTTTACTTTTTACTGTTAGAATAATGTTTAGAAATTAAAGGGAAGCAGACATGGCAGAAAGAAAAACATTAGCGTGTAACACAGAAGCCCCACAGGCACTATTGAATGATTCAGTTGTTGGACTTTGCATGGGGAAATCCAGCTTCAAGTTCCCATTCAACCAGGAAGCACACTAGGTAATTTAAGTTTAGTCTGCTTTGGCTCGACCAACTCAAGTTTCTTTTTGTAGGAACAGCATGAAAAGATCTCTGACACGTGAGGGGGCCTTGGTGCTTTCTGAGCTTAGTTGTTTTCTTGCAGATGTTTCACTACCCAAACAGGTAACATCATCAGTGATAGTAGGGAATCATCACATAATCAAAGGTTCCCCTATAATGCTGAATGCTACCCTGCTATCCCCCAAAGACAACAAATAGCTCATTAGATGAAGCATCTACTGTAAGCAAGTAGAAGCAGTGCTGGGCTTTTATCTGCCTTTTGCATACAGCAGGGGTTCCCAACTGGGGGTGCGAGACGATATTCCAGGGGGTGCGAAAACATGGGTTTAGAAATTTCAAAATTATAGGGTATATGCATCATTCATTGCCATTTTCTAGCCATGATAATTGGAGAGAAGGATTCCATCTGCTTTGGTACTGTATTATTATTAGGGTCCTTTCAGTCAATCTTATGTACTTATTTATTTCAAACATTTATATAGCCACCAGCGTTAAAATAAGAGATCCTTTGGTCTCATTTACTATTAAGGGAAGTAGTATTTTGTTTTTAATGGTAACTTTTAACATGGTTGGCATCACTGTGGAACTATTTCAAAGTTCCTTCAGTCCTTTTTGATTCCCTAGAGCAGGGGTTCCCAACCAGGGGTGCTCGCATCCCCTGGGGGTGTGAGACAATATTCCAGGGGTGGTGCAAAAACGTGGGTTTTCAAAATTATAGTGTATATGCATAATTCATTGCTGTTGTTTTGAACTTTTGTAAGGGGTGCGAGAATGTATCAGAAGCATTCTAGGGGTGCGGGGTATAGAAAAGGTTGGGAGCCACTGCCCTAGAGGAAAGAGTTCCTGCAGATTTTACTCCACTAGTCATTGCCAACTATAGGGGGCAGTGTTCATCTCTGTTTTGAGGCCGTTGAGCTAGATGTTTCCATGGCCATGAGGCCAGCATGATGTCATGGAGTTCTGTTACCTTCCCACAAAAGTGGTACCTATTTATCTACTTGCATTTGCATGTTTCCAAACTGGCAGGAGCTGAGGCGAGAATGGGAGCTCACCCGATCTCATGGCACTCAGGTCTCGAACCTGGGCTGTCAGCTTTCCAGCTGACAAACCCAGCATCTTTACCTCTGAGCCACCATGCCACCACTTCTGTTTCAACATTCCTTCAGTCCCTTTTGATTCCCCAGAAATTGCCACTCTTGCTTTCCTGAGAAGTTAGTCTGAAACTCCTCCCATACTGCCCAAACATTAATCTGCAGGGAATGATGTGGGTTATAGTGCAAAATTATTGGCAGACACGGTGTTCGTTAATGATATCAGATCTTTTCTTGTCTAACGTGAATCAATATTTCAAGAACCATTTCAAGAACAAGGAAGTGGGCTTTCTATGTTTCATCTTGAAATAGCCCAAATCAAACAAAGTTTTTTTTAAAAAGTCCCATCTTATTCGTTCATGTCCACACCTATTGATCCAAGGAGTATAAAAGCTTACATCATCTAGCAAAACAGGGTGGAGAATCATCTGAAGAAGAACAGAGCAGGTGAGAGTTGCCCTCTTTAGCACTTATCTTGTGATTGATGGGAAGGTGATAGATTTGCCAATGAGGAACTGATCTCCCTTTCTCTTTCCAGTTGATTGTTGATCTGCTTCTCAACACTATTTTAGGTTTTTTATGGGCTTAGGAAACTGAAAAATGATATTTGAACAGAAGAGAATAACAGAGTTGGAAGATCTTAGAGGTCTTCTAGTCTAATCTCTTGCTCAACAAGGAAGACCCTATTCCTTTCAGACAAATGGCTGTCCAATCTCTTTTGAAAACCTCCAATAATGGAACAACCACAACTTCTAAGGCAAGCTCTTCTACTGATTAATTGTTCTCTCAGGAAATTTCTCTTTATCTCTAGGTTGGATTTCTCCTTGATGTGTTTCCATCCATTGCTTCAGGTGCTTTGGAGAATAGGTTGACCTCTTCTTTTTTGTGGCAAAGCCTTAGATATTGGAAGACTACTTTCATGTCACTCCTAGTGCTTTTGGTTCATTTAATCCAAAATGATCAGTGTTAACACTGCAACAACCCCCCTCCCAACTCTTTTGTTCTGTTAATTTATTTAATTCACTATGTTGGCTCTTCCATCTAGTCCAGAACAATCTAGTTATGCAAAGTAATAAGCTTTGTATTGGGATTTGTTTTTGTTATGCATTGGAAGAATTCTGAAATCCAGAGGCATGATGGTGCAGGGCAAACCTGTGTCCTTTACAATGCAACTGTAATGGTGCCCATATAATTTTTTTCTGATGACTTTCTGACTTTTCCCACCTCTACCTGATAGAAACAGGACTTTATATTCAGATTTCTAATATTTCTATCTCCATACTTCCCGCTCTGACTGATAATGCCTCTCAAATCTTTCAGGAAGAAAAAATCCCTTTCCCTGGCTCTCATCTTAGCCTTGCTTCTCACGGATCCAAGATAAGGAATCTGATGTCTTTCATTTTCAAATGAAGCAAATCCTTCCATTTTTAGCAGGACTTTCCCATAACCTGGATGCCCTCCAGATATGCAAGGAACATCAAATTGCAAACATCTCAATCAGTTGGAAGTTCTTGGAACTGGTTCACACATCTGGAAGACTCTAGTTTGAGAAGTCTGCAGAGTCAGACCACTGATTCCTTTAAGTCAGGGGTATCAAAATTGCAACGTCACGTGACGTATTACGACGTATCGTGACTTTTTTCCATTGCCGGCAATGGGGTGAGCGTGGTTTTGCCATGATGCATCCGGCCCGTGGCCAGCAGTTTGACACCCCTGCTTTAAGTAATGCTCAAAGGTCAACAGATAGATATCTTAATCCTGTTAGCTGGGAAATGTTGAACAGCAATTGTTAGAAACTGAATTTGGTACTTAAAAAAATATTCCTTTGCTATGGAGATTATGCCTTATGTAAAAAGTAGACTTGGAGGGCCCAACAGTCAGGAATACTTCTTGATTATATTTTGCATCTTTGGATAGGTTTATGGTACTCACATCTCAATGGCAAATATTCAATTTCTCTCATGGCATGAGATGTTGAAATTATGTCCAAGAAAATCAGGAAGCAGAATTAGAACAGAATTAGATGCTCCAACACTGGAGATTTTTAAGAAGAAACTGGACAACCATTTGTCTGAAATGATATAGGATTTCCTGCTTGAGCAGGGGGTTGGACTAGAAGATCTTCAAAGTACCTTCCAACTCTGTTATTCTGTTAGAAATTAATCTTGGAAACTACTTTGATACAAACCTAACACACCAACAACTGTGAGCTAAATTATAAGCCTCCCAGATTCACTGTAACTCTTTTGCTTTAGGAAGTTCTAAAAGCTTTGCTTTACGTTCTATAAGGTTTATCTCAGGTGCTAATAAATTCATTTAAAAAAATGAAGGCTTAGGAACACTAAGTAGTTTGGAACAAAATTAGAAAGTCACAGATAAAGAACATGCTGAATCTGTGTTTACTTTTAGCAGTCGGCTTTTGTAGGTTTCTAAAATATATTTCCCTAAATTGATCAATTTGTACTTTCTCTCTTTTCTTTCTTTTTCAGAGATGGGGAGAATAGTTGGTTTGCTCAGTCTTTTGATAACATTTAACCTCTTGATGGTATCTGAATCTAACCTGGAAGGTAAAATGATAAATCTTGTTTTGCTTCCTGAAACTTTTTTACAAGCATAATTCTTCCTGGGGGGGGGGGAGAAATGCAGCTTTTAACGGCCTCTTGGGGTATTTATAAATAAGACAGAAATGGAGAACAAGGGCTATTAGCCTTGATTAACCTTGGCTATTAATCTTGGTAGCCAAATGTTGGGAGATGAGAGAGCTTGCTTGTGCAATTGGTTAGCCAATGTGAGAACAGACTGCTGGACTAGATGGGCTGCACATGTAGTGTGGACAACCCTGATTTAGGGCAGAATGTCATTAAATAGTTGAGTCAGTCTTCATTCCCTACTTCTGGCTAGAGAATCATGATAGTCATTGTTGGTAACAATCAATTTTTGCTACATCTTATTTATTTATTTATTTATTAAGAAAATTTATATGGCCTGTCAAATCACAGTGACTTGAGGGGGGGGCGGTTTTAAAAGATATCACAAAACATATTCAGTGTTGTTTGCTTGCTATTCAGCTTCAATATTTTTAAATATAAGATTTTAGATTTAAGATATAAGTAGCAGGGCAGTATTTGCCTTCAGGCTTAACAATGTAAATAATATTATAGGCAAGAAATAAAGATGGATAGGGAAGCAGATGCCCACTCTGCTTTCTTAAAGTGGTTATAGCTACCTAGGATGATGTAGGTAGCCATCCTTTTCATCTCTCCTGCCAAAATCTTGTTTTTCTTCTAACATTATTTTATTATTCCAAAGATTATGATGATGAGCTGGATTCCTCTGAAAAGCTGACTGGTAGTGACTTTTTCAGCAGCATCAGTGAAGCCAAACAGAAGGTGGATCAGGCATTTAAATTATCCCGGGAAAGGTGAGATTCTTTTGTGTAAAACTGTAGGCAACTTCCTTTGTTATGTTTCATCACAGACTCTAAGCCACAATTTTTCATGATGAACGTTTAGAAATATGCCCAGGAAACAGATAGCAAATAATAGCAATAATACACACACACACACACACACACACACACACACACACACACACACACACACAGAGACAAGCTTGTGTTGCCTGAAGCTTCTAGAAGCTTAGAAGGCAAGTTTAGGGGGCTCTTCTCAAAAATGCCACCAAATTATAAACTTTATATTGAGGCAGGTAGAAAATTATTAAATTTTCTTTTTCTTTGTTTCTATTTGAATTTATATGGTTGCCCATCTCAGTGTTGTGATTCTCAAGCCCACACCTGTTTACTAAATATCCTCATTCATTCATTAATTTGGTCTGCTGTATCAAGAAGCGCTTTTAACGCTAACTAGTTAATCCATTATCTCTGAAGGAGTTTGGGTGTCCAGCAACTTACAATCAATCATTCAAGAATCTGAGCATATACTTCTTAGATATGATATTGTAGAAGGACCCCCTTCCCCAAGAGTTAAGTCTAATGAAACATCCAGATGTTTGAGCAATGCAATAGTAAAGATAGGAGAGAAGAAAAATGCACAGATTTATTGTGGCAGGGAAAAATAAGGATTCAGGCTGCATATATTAATCAATACATGTTGACTGAACAGGGTACTCTGATGAAGTAGTAAAATGGTAGAAAGTAGAAAGAAAGGAAATAACATGAAATAATAAGAATACCTCCGATCTAATTCTCTCTTTGTGGTGCAACTTCCGTGCTGCTATTTTAAAAACAGCATTGTGTAAACACAACTATATTTCTTATGGCATTTTCCATTGTGGTTGTTTATCATCAACTCTACTTCTTTTTCCAGAATCAAAGAAAGTTTGAACAAGGCTGATCTCAACCCTTCAGATTTTTTGAAATATTTAAAAGCACCTGTGGCAGGAACCAGGACTGCAATCCGAGCTGCAAGTTATGTGGAAACTGCTTTGGGTATCTTAGAGAAGAAAATACAAAATAAGTATCTGAGACCATTCAATATTACAGGTAGGATGAAAAACCAGAGACGCCTAATGAGGGTCCATGAAAACAAGGCCTGATCACAGTGCCTTGAAAGAATGTTCCTCCAATAATAATAATAATAATAATAATAATAATAATAATAATAATAATAATAATAATAATAATAATAATAATAATAATAATAATAATAATAATAATAATAATAATAATAATAATAAAAATAAAAATAAAAATAAAAAGTTGGAAGGGACATTGGAGGTCATCAAGTCCAACCCCCTGCTCAGGCAGGAAACCCTATACCATTTCAGACAAATGGCTGTCCAGTCTCTTCTTAAAAACTTCCAGTGTTGGAACATTCACCGCTTCTGGAGGCAGGTTGTTCCACTGGTTAATTGTTCTAACTGTCAGGAAGTTTCTCCTTAGTTCTAGGTTGCTTCTCTCCTTGATTAGTTTCCATCCGTTGCTTCTTATACTGCCTTCAGGCGCTTTGGAAAATAGCTTGACTCCCTCTTCTCTGTGGCAGCCCCTGAGATATTGGAACACTGCTATCGTGTCCCCCCTCATCCTTCTCTTCATTAAACTAGACATACCCAATTCCAGTAACCGTTCCTTATATGTTTTAGCCTCCAGTCCCCTAATCATCTTTGTTGCTCTTCTCTGTACTCTTTCTAGAGTCTCAACATCTTTTTTACATCGTGGTGATCAAAACCACGATGGAGCACTTCAGAATTTTTTCCCAGATAGGTAATGCAACAGGGTGAGAAGTGGACAAGAAACAGAAAACACCACATGTTAGGTCATGAATACTACAGCTTAGACTCCAGAAAAATTCTTATTTCCAGAATTAAAGCGGTTGAACACTGTCCTTGATGTCTAATTTAAAATTTTAAAGTACAGATAGACCTCAACTTACAACCATTCATTTAGCAAGTAATTAGCAAGTATTCAAAGCCACTGAAAAAAATGATTTACAATCCCACACTAATGACCATCACAGCAACCCCACGATCATGTGATCAGAATTTGGGTGCTTGGCAACCAGCATGTATTTACAATGGTTGCAGCATCCCAGGATCATGTGATCGTCATTTGTGATCTTCCCAGCCAACTTCCAACAGGCAAAGTCAATGAGGTAAGCTGGATTCGCTTAAAAACTACATGATTCACTTAACAACTGCAGTGATTCACAACTGTGCAAAAAAGGTGAAAAAATCAGATATGACTCACTCAACAACCAACTGGCTTAGCAAGGGAAATTCTAGTCCCAACTGTAATCATAAGTCAAGGACTACCTAAATTGATAATTAGCAATTAAATTAACATTAATTAAATTAATATTACATTAAATCCTTGATTTCCAATTATTTTTCCCTATTTAGACATATTAAGCAGAGACCAGAAAGAGACACTCTTCAAAACAACTGGTTGCAATTATGTGACATGGCCAATCCATTGTCCACTGAACAGTCCTTACCGGACCATCACTGGCCAATGCAACAACAGGTATGAAACTCCTGCTGAAACTCTGCTTAAGGCAGATGTCATGTGTCTGATTAACGAAACACTTAAAGGGACTTTCAGGCATATTTTTATCCTAAAAGCATTTATTAAGGTTACAGAGATGTCAGTAGGGCATGGTGGAAATACTTAGATCTGAGATCCTTTTCCGTTGCACAGACATTCCAGACATTTTTCCCTCCCCTATTCTGGGGTCATGGTTCACATCTTCCAATTAACTTGGAAGATGTGATTTACTTCCGGTTTCTTTTTCCCGGGCTTTCCTTATTCTCCTCCCCTTTCACTGTTGCTTGATTTAACTATAAAAATACCAGACAGTTCTGCATATTGTCAAAGCAAGAATATACAGTATTTGCAGCATTGACAGCAGGTCTCATTAGGATATGGTGATTTGTGGAACCAGAATTGATAGAGCTGAAATGTGTAGGCTTACTTTCTGTGCAAAGCATTAGAGAAGTTGAAGAAACAAAACTGGTGTTTGGAGCCCTTTAAGGCAGGGGTCCCCAACCCACAGTCCATGGACCAGTACCAGGCCGCGGCATGCCAGCAACCGGTCCACACAAACAAGCAAAGCCCTATCCGCAAGATGCAGGCAGCACACAAAACCACGCACTCTCCGGTCCATGGAAAAACCTCTCTCCACAGAACCGGTCCCTGTTTCCCAAAAGGTTGGAGACCTCTACTTTAAGGCATCTCTTCTGCAGCTTAAAAGCTCTCTAAAATGGGGGAAAGCTGATTGGGAGGATTTTGAGGGGTGCAGTGAAAATCCTAAGCACCTACAAGGTGCAAAATATTTATTCTGCCCCTTCTTTACCTCTAGGTGGGTTAGCCACCTAGATGGAAATATTGTCTGACTGGCTGTAAGACATCTCTGTATGCTGAGCTATTTGTTTGAAAAATAAACAGGTTCTATGAGAAAAAAGAATTTTAATTTCCTCTTTTAAAAATACCAGGCACTACTAGGGCATCAGGGTTAATGGCAATCAGTACCAGAAGTTTTGTATGAAATTGTTTATTTCTGGCAGGAACCTTTTTAGGTTTTAAACTTCATTTCATTTCATGGTCAATTTTAAGGGAGAGTTTTAAAACAAGCTTTCAAAATGCATAGTTAATCAGTTACACAAGTAGTCCTCGGTTTACAACAGTTCATTTAGTGATTGTTCAAAGTTACAGAAGCATTGAAAAAAGTGACTTAAGATTATTTTTTACACTTACGACCGTTGCAGCATCTCTATAGTGACATGATCAGAATTCAGATGCTTGGCAACTGACTCATATTTATGACGGTTGCAGTGTCCCGGGGTCGTGTGAACACCTTTTGTGACCTTCTGACAAGCAAAGTCAATGCGGAAACCAGATTCACTTAACAACTGTGTTACCAACTTAACAACTGCAGTGATTCACTAAATAAGTGAACAAGTGCACCACCTTTCTGTGGCAAGAAAGGATATAAAATGGGGAAAAATTCACTTAACTGCCTTACTGAACAATAGAACAGATATTTACACAGAGGTTTCATTTTGTTCAACATTCAGAGAGGAACAAAAGCTGCCCGTTAGCTTAACTTCAACCTTCAGGAAGGCAAAGGAAATAATTTTTTTTATTTTTTTGTAAATTTGTATTAAGAAAACATTTTAAAACAGGTTGAACACAGTGTGACTTTTCTGGCTGTTATTTTGCCATACATACTATACCATATATCTTCCTAGTCATTGATCTTTTATACCATTTACATATTGTATTTTATACTATTTACATATTTATATATTTACATACATATTTACATCTATTTATAACATAACTTCCATTTCCATTCTTATTTCATATTCTTTCTGATCTCTATCTTACGCTCACTTTGAGGTTGGAAATCTACACTTTCTCTCTTCTAGATGATTTTTCTCTGTTCTGACTTTTTCTCCTTGAGTCTAACCAATAGTACATTTATCCCAAACTCCGTAATACTCTGTTTCATCCTTTAATTTCTAAGGATAATCTATCCATCTCTGCACATATCAAAAAA